CATGACTTTATGAATTTAAGACTTTCTGCTCTGATTTAAGACCTTTTAAGATCTGAATTTGTGGAACCTGCAGAAAACTTGTACCTGTTTAGCTTTTGTGTTAATCTATCTTATGCTTTAAACTTGGCATTGTTTACAATGAATATTGTTGGCTTTTATGATGAATTGCTTTCTTCTTGTTTCAGCTGACAGCAGACATCTCAAAATATAACTGGTTGTATTTGTTTTATCCTTATTATTTCCCTGCACTGAGTATTCACAATGAACTTGAGTAAAAAAGCTATGCAGTCTACCCCATTCTCCCCTATAGACTCAGAAAATAATGTTGATAGATTCTGACCAGAAATGAGCTGAAAAAGATGAATGAGACAAAATAGAAATAGGCAAAGTCTGTGCCACAGCCCCCTTCATGATCTGGAGAGGTGAAAGGTGGTGGTATTGAAGGGTCCCGTTCGCACTCCTTTCCCTTGAGACACGAGAGCATGATCTCCTGCCACGACTCTCCTGTGGCACTTCTGCAAGACATAAAGGCCCGGTTTCACAAACGGGGCTTAGCTTAAGCCAGGACTAGGCCTTAGTTAAATTAAGATATTTAAACAACATTTACAAAAATGCAATAGAAGAAAACATTACAGGTGTGCATCACAGAACAATGACACTGACATATTTTAAGATATGTCAGAGCAAGATATTTTCAGTTGAGACAGCTCAAACATGCATTTTAGTCTGGGACTAGCTAAAGCCTTGTCTGTGAAACTGGGGGAAAGTAATATATCTACCCAGGAATGAGTCACCAAGAGCACTCAAACACCTCTCAATTACAGGAACAGTTCAGTCTTTATTTTCTGACCCTCACATTGTTCTAAAGTCATAGTTATTTTTCAGTGGAAAATACAGGAAGAATTTTTGAATCTTCTTGCGTTTTTTATTCTGCAAAAACAGTTCAGCTATTCTTTTTAATAGTTCACTTCAAACTATTTTTGAATTTTTCAGATCATCAGTCATCAAAGCTCAGTAAATATAGGGTACAGACAGAGATTTACTTTACATTTCACCAAGCTGATTTACTCACTACAAACTCACAGAGATCACGTGTTCAGGTCATTTCAAGTCTTATTTTGACAAAGTAGTTATATCTAAGTGTGTGAGTTGTTTACTCACTTTAAAAATAAAAAAAATAAAAGTCTTCCCATTAACGCCATTATACTGTTCATTTAGACTGATTTGCGAACGCGCCTGAACACAAGGAGGGATTTATCACATGAAACAATCACAGCCGATCATAACCAGTATCCAATCATATCGCGATGGAGGCATTGCCTCCTCTCACATGATTTCCCCCATTCATTCTCAATTACCCCCCAGCAAACCCACTGCATGCTTTTATATATTTTTCATAACAAAAACTTTGCTAATTTCTTTTTCCTTTCTAGACATGGAAATCACAATTTTAAAAGTCTTTTTTTTCATGACCACGCAAACCCTGAAGAACAGTGGTGCATATAGTACAAATATAATTTTACCTTGAAGGACTGAACAAATGTCCACAGCAGAATCCGTATTGTGTAGCCTTGTCTCAGTAGTTTAATAAGTCTAGCTGCCCGGAAAAGCTTCAGGAAACTCATATTGATGGTGTTCACAGACTATGTAGAATAGAGAGAGCGAAGAAACTGTTTACTTGTAGTAAAGATTACTTGATAGACAATTGAAGTGGTCCAGAAACCCCAACACTGATACACACTTCTGATTCATACTCAAGACCACTGCATATGAAATATGCCTACCTGTAAATCTACCACAATTTCAGTAATGCTGCCCAGTACAGTGATGAAATCAAAGATGTTCCATGTATCACGGAAGTAGTTCTGTGAAATGAGACCAGTGTGACAACAATGAAAACGTTAAACAAGTAAATAAATTCAGGTACATTAAAAATGTTTTCTTCTTTGAATGATACTCATTAAAGGGATAGTTCACTCAAAAATGAACAGAACATTTGCTGTTAATTTATTCACCCTCAAGCCATCCAAGATGGAGTTTTTTTTCTTCAGCAGATCAGTAAAGAAGATTTTTAGCTGAGACTGTGGTCTTTGGTTATTCATAAAAAGCAAGTCAAATGCTACCGTCACTTTGAGAGTCAAAAAAGCACATACAGGCAAGACAAAGTTAATACCCGTGGCTCCTGTCGATATATTGAGGTCTTATGAAGCGAAACAATCAGTCTGTGCAAGAAACTGAACATTGTTTACAACATTATTATTACCTCTAATCCAGAGCCTCAGGCAATTTGAGGCAAACGGTCCGGAGCGATGTCCAGTTCACGAACGAATCATTCTTTTGAACCGGTTCTTTTTAATGAATTATATGAACCAGTTCATCAATTCGGACTCAATCGTCTGAATCAGTTCGTGGCTCGAGCAGCACAGATCTATAAGTTACTCAATCAGAACTCACTTTCAGACACGTGACAGTCACTCCGACTCGAAATGAGCCGAAATAGCTGTGTATCTGATCCCATGATGAATGAACTGATTCAGTGCTCCAGGTTCCTCCAACAGTCACTGGACTGAGTTCAACTTGGACCGAAGACTGATGAGCCACTGATATGCGCATGCGTGAACAAAGCACTTGAATGAATGTGTAAAATGGACGTTTTTATGGTTTCTCAATGTTTATGTAAAAAGGTGAGTTAAGACTAGTTTATTCACTTTATTTGCTTTAGACATGTAAAACATCCATATTTCACAACATTATTGGTTGTTTTAATAATATAACTGTGTATATGTGACATCACTATGTGATTACATAAACGAACTGGTGAATCAGTTATTTGAACCAGTTAATTGAATCAAACTGTCTAAATGAACCACTTCGCAGAAAATAATCGTATTTCCTCGTTTGCCTGAGGTTCTGGATTACAGGTAATAATAACGTTGTAAATTATGTTCAGTTTCTTGCACAGACTGATCTTTTCACTTCATAAGACCCTTAATGTAGCCTTTGACTTGCATTTTATGAATCACCAAGGAGCACAGTTTCAGCTAAAAATTTTCTTCACAGTTCTACTGAAGAAAAAAAGTCACCTATATCTTGGATGGCCTGAGGATGAGTAAATTAACAGCAACTTTTCATTTTTTGGTGAACTATCCCTTTAACATCAATGGGATGTCATTAAACTCACAATTAACCCAAAGGCAAAAATCTTTAAGATGCATTCCAGGGAGAAGAGCACAGTGAACGCAGTGTTGAGGTGCTTCAGGACGATGTCGTAGGCAGCTGGCGCCGAGTGGTACTGAAAAGCATTGCGATTATAAATCACAAATGCTGTATGCACCTCAAAAGTTCTCATTTAAGCTATTTCAGCTAAAGATGGAGACCATGAAAACCAAGACCACATATATAGCTTCACGTTTTACAAATTGACAGAATGGATTCTAAGCTGGGATACTGTATGTTGAAAGTTATACCTTCATCATGAGCACTACTGTGTTGAGTGCGATCATGACTAGAACCGTGTACTCGAAAGATGGCGACACCACAAAGTGCCACAATCGGTACTGGAGGGTCTGTCGGTTCTGAGGCATGTATCTCGTTAGGGGTTTTGCACTGATTACAAAGTCAATGCATGCCCGCTGGAAGAGTGAGATAAGAAAGCAGCGAAGGAACATTCAGGTTAGTACTGCTGATTAGAAACCTTTATTATTTATTCATGCTTAGATCAGACTCTTATTCATAATAATGGAGTTAATATAACTAAATGATGTTAATAAAACCTAGCTATGTGGAAAAATATGAAAAAAGCTTGATGTGTGATCCAGTCTACTGGATACTGGAGTCGTAAATGCATATTTAACCTCATTTTTCTCCAAGTTGCACTCCTCCATCATTTTGTCACCCTGCTCCTGGAATGTGATGATGATGAGAGCAACAAAGATGTTGACAAAAAAGAAGGGGAAAACCACAAAGTATATGACATAGAAAATGGACATCTCCATTCGGTTTCCTCTGCTTGGGCCGTGGTCTTCTTCAGTCACATCCACCGAGTGTTGGAGAACTCTGTAGAAAGGCATAATGAAAGCATCCAATGAATTCAGCAAATAATTAAAGTAATCTTTTACCATTTATTTACAGCTAAATAGACTGAAAAAGTTGTTTGTTTTCTCAAAACATGGCTCTATTCTCATTAAACAAACCCATGGACGTTTTTGGCGTTCTCAGAAGGGGAAGTCGTCATAGTTTGGGTAAATTTCTATAGTGGTGGCCAGAAACATTTCTATGTATTTCTATGATAATATAGAGAGATTGATTATGTCAGAAGAGAGAACGATGTCAAATTTGCCGTCAGCAATGGTCACACTCTTTCTGTAAACAAATGCCAAGGTAATATAACTCAGAGTGTAGTGTTACAAATGTACATTAAATTTTTTAATTGCTAAATCTATATTGTTAATTACTATGGAAACGCATCATCACAGTCTGTGAAAAGGGTCCATTTTCAGTATTTAAAATCTGCAGCATGAAATCTCTTCCTGCTTATTCACAGATATGCTACTCAACCCACACTCAATTCAGTGACAGTCCAGATTATTTTTCCTGCCTTTTCAACCACTGATTCTTGGCATCAACTCTTAAACAAACATCTCTCCACATGGATCCCAACTCAACATTAGTCTCAGCAGTAACACTGTAACATAAGAACCATAACAAACAGAGGTGGCTCGCCAATTCTGGGTCTAAACTGATGTTTTCTAAACTGATGACTGTACTCCAGAAGTAAATTGTGACCTCTTCAGGCAACTATTCAACTCTGAAAACAAGTTGGCTGGCTGCTTATAGGGGACCAATTTGCACGTTTTTAAAAATCTGCCAATAATTACCAAAATTGGAGAAAATGGTTGTAACAAGATAAGATCTGTCATGAAATCCGCTCAAAGGTCCTTCCGAACACAAAGGTTTTATGAGATTTTTGAGCAGTTATCCAGACGATGCAATTAGCAGCATCACGGCTTTCATAACTGCATGACCTTGAAGAAATGTTTTATGTGGAGGTTAATCTTTCTGAGCTCTCTGAATCTCCTTCATAAATCAAGCAATGGAATAAAATCATTTAAATAACAGTGCCTATAGCACTACATTAGCTTGCCTGAGAACTATAGTTCTGTATTACCCACATCCCAATTCTGATTGAGTATAAAGTTTGATTTGAAAGTAGAAAGAAAAGACCTTCGGTTGCATTTCTATTTCTTTAAAAGTCTAGAATTTTAATATGGGTGTAAAAGAAAACTGCTTCTTCAGTCCACTGGAATTTGCTCTTCCTTCCTCAGCTTTTTCATGGGTTTGCTTGCACACAGTTTTTAAGGTAGTTTGTTCCAAGCATCTTGGAGAAGGTGCCACAGTTCTTCTATGCATGAACCCCAGACTGACTTGAAGATGGTGAGATCAGCTCTCTGCGTGGGCCACACCATCTGTTGTGGGATTCCTTGTTCATACGAACATTTCACTGGATTATAACAATATTTGCAAAAGAAGAAGAAGAAACACTGGCACACTAAAACAAAACATGAATAACTGTCTTAAAGCAAATGTTTTTTTTATGTCACATCTAATGTGCATAAGACTTTTGCTCAGTTCTTGTATGTTTCAAGGTTTCAGAAAATTTCTGGAAAGGTTCCGGTAACTGTTGAGTGATTTTGTTCATTTACACTGCCAAAAGCTTTCACAATGTGACATCTATTGTGCTCGCCGAGAAGCCCAGCTCTTTCGTGTTTGACATTTGCCAACATTTCTGGCATTCTGGATCCGATTTGCATTTCCACAGAAGGCTGTCCGGTAATTTGACTGCATTTTTCCGGAATCAAAGCCCAGTGCTTCATTCTGATGGCATTCGGTCCACTGATGTTAGATAGTTTAATGAGCACTAAAACCTTGTTAACATATTAATTTATTTAAAATGAATGAGAACTGTCTAATTTAAATATGGTTATTTTATTCTGTTCACCAAACAGCCACTTATGCACAGGGAAAGGCATTTTCTACATGAACTTCAGTCCATTAGCAAACAAAAAATGTTCATAAGTATTCACCTCCACATCCCCATTCTCCAGAGGTTTAGGCAACCTGTCTGACACCAAAACGTAGAGAGCTAAATCTACACTGACACACATTTCCTTGGCAGATGTGATACAAATACTTGAGAAGGCAGCAGAATAGCCTGCCATGAAAAGCCCAGCACTGACGAGACTCTGAAAGTCTCTACCCTTCTCAGATCTCAGAACAATCTTGGGAGCTGACTGAAGATCACATGCTGCCAAGTGCACCGTAATATACAGTAAGAAACATCTAGGTCTTTGTATAGAGTGCATTAGTGCCGTTCGATTTTTTCAATGCCGCTGGTTCTGGAAGTATTTTTCCAATTCACTTTTCCCATAGAGATTATGGTTAAAGAGTTATAAGCCATGAATCAAACCAACCAGCTACGAGAAGAATCACAACATTTCAAACTTTGATTTGAAGCAAAATCTGACAAAAAGACAAAGATATCAGACTGTGTAATTAATGTCTTTAATCATAGAAAGAACTACAATCTCATGAAGCACTGTGAATGACAGCAATGTCATTCAATTAAAAGCAATGGAGAAATATAAAACAATCCATTTAAAGTTGTTGATTGGGAGTGAGCGGAGCTAAATATCTTGTTTGGCGCTATTTGTTGGCTGCGACTCTCTGATTGGTGGAATTTTCTTTACAGCATCATGGGTAATGTAGTTTTTCACCAGGGATTCGGCTGTCAAACACAGTTTGTGAAATAATGCTAACTTACAGCTTCAACAAAAGCATATACCATTGATTAACAACCTCCAAGCTCACAGTAGGTCTGTATTTTAAAGTTTAGATGTTATCGTTAAAATTAAATTTCCCTATGTAGAAAAGTAATGCCATTTTTACTTGCAGAACCTGACTGTTGCGCTCTGTAACCCTACTTCACAAAGCCACTGGTGAGCGTGACCTGATATATTAACATGTTTATGCAGTGTCTCTAAATCATCAAGCAATTTCAGCCTAATAGAAAGTAAAACAGAGGTACTCATTTTAAAATGTAATCAAATATACAACAGTCTGGTGCAGTATAGAAATGAATGGACATACTGTGGCCAGCCCTCTCCTGTGGACACAGTGAAGAGCGTCAGAAGAGCCCAGAGGACATTATCATAGTGGAACTCGTGTCTCCTCCACTCCCGCTTCTTCACCTCCTTCCTGTCCCTCCCATAGTCAATGTAGTAGCCTCTACACAACACAGAACAATTCAAACCATGGCAAACAAACTAACCAAACATTCATGAAAGTATACTAATCTTTGTGCAGTTTTACCAGGGTTCCTGAACTTTTGATATTCAAAGCATTTCACACGATTCACATGAACAAAACATGAAGGTGGCTCTTCAAGCTTGAACTGCACTGAAACATTTATTATTACGGAATTTAAATTTGAATAATGAATCCCGCTAAATTAACAAGTTCAATTGACAGCCTTGAAACATAACCTAAGAATATCTATGCATGGCTGAAACTGAAAATGTTACATTAGTAAATGCAAACATGAAAAAAAGGTCTTAAAAAAGTAATAATCTTAAAATAAAATAGTAAAAAAGCATCCAATGAAAAAACTACGCAAGTAGCGAGTTACTAGTTACTTCAGATAATATATCTTACAATAACATGCTATTATCGAGACAGATCATATTTAATTGGTTTAAATGATTATATTATTAGCATAATTAGTTATCTTTGCAACAAACACAGAGGAGACAAGCAATAAAGGTTTAGTTCACCCAAAAATGAAAATTAGGCTGCGTTTTACTCACCCCCGAGGCATCCTAGGTGTATATGACTTTCTTCTTTCAGACGAATCCAGTCGGAGTTATATTAAAAATCATATTTGATCTTTTAAGCTGTTTAATGCCACTCAGCGGGTGTTGCATTGCTTCAGTCCAAAAGAAGTTAAATAAAAATCGCCCATCCATAAAAAAAGTGTCTCACACGGCTCCGGGGGGTGAACAAAGGCCTCCTGTAGCGAATCGATGCGTTTTTGTAAGAAAAATATCCATATTCAAAACGTAATAATCACTTTAATGTAGCTTGCGCTCACAGTTGTAAACAGAAGCAGCTCCGGGCGGATGACGTATGAGTTCAGCGCTGCGCATGCGCCGCTCAGAAGTGATGAACACGGAAACGCAGCGGAGAGATCAAAACAAAACAACGGTCACTTGTAAAGGGAGGATTTGTAAAATCATTTGTAATGTCAGATGATTTCGATATAAGCCAAGAGGAGACTGGTTTTGCTTTGCTAAAGTAAGGAAACTTTGCTTCCTTTGCTCCCGTTAACAAACGTTGGTTTTCACGAGACTCACCGGCGCATGCACAACGCTGAACTCATACGTTATCCGCCCGGAGCTGCTTCCGTGTACAACTGCTGGCGCAAGCTACATTAAAGTGATTATTACGTTTTGAATATGGATATTTGTCTTACAAAAATGCATCGATTCGCTACAGGAGGCCTTTGTTCACCCCCCGGAGCCGTGTGAGACACTTTTTTTTATAGATGGTCGCTTTTTATTTAACTTCTTTTGGACTGATGCATGCAACACCCGCTGAGCGGCATTAAACAGCTTGAAAGATCAAAGACCATTTTAAATATAGCTCCGACTGGATTCGTCTGAAAGAAGAAAGTCATATACACCTAGGATGCCTCAGGGGTGAGTAAAACGCAGCCTAATTTTCATTTTTGGGTGAACTAACCCTTTAAAGGGGGCATTTCATCTGTTGCCCCAAAATCATTGCATGTCCTGTGCTTTGTATAGCAATCTATACAGCTACATTGGGATTATCAGACACTGACCCATGATTGGGGCATCACTCATGCCCCAGAAAAAATTCAGCACACATTGAATAAACTACACATTTCGTATTGCATTAAAATAAAGTAACGAGAGCAACATTGCTCAACAAAGTAAAAGTAAAATGTTTCATTGAGTTAAAGTAAAAATACCCACCATTAATTCTACTCTTAAAAGTACAAATATTCAAAAAATCCACTCAAGTAAATGAAACGGGGTAAATGTAATTTATTACTACCCACCTCTGATCCCACACTCAGAAATACAGTATATATAAAGCATATGGCTGCACTTACTGGCATTCTTTTTGCGTGCCCATCGATCCGTCGGTACAGTAGAAAAACTTTCCCTTGAAGAGCTGCACTGCAATGACAGCAAAGATGAACATGAAGAGCTTGTAGACGATGAGGATGTTGAAGACGTTCTTCAGGGATGTGACCACGCAATCAAACACAGCCTGCAGGACAACAGAAATAATCATCATATCGCATATCCCTTCCTAAACAGGTCTTCAACCAGCAAAGCAAATTAGATAGAGTTTCATATGCATGTTTTTGGAGTTTAGAGAATGATGCATTCCAGTACAGTATAGTGTCTAAAACAATCAACATTACAATTTTACCTAAAGCCTTGAATTTATTTGTAGTCATTCAATTAGTAGTTGCCTGCATTGCATGCACTTTTATTTGCAAGTGATCAAATCAAATGTTTGTGGGGGGTTTTTTAGGCAGTACAGTCATTTTCTGGCATGTTGGTTGCTATGGTAATGATATCAAGTCAAACCCATGTGACTTTGCTCTACAATGACAGGAAACTGAAAGCTGACAGAAAAAAAAATGCTTTAGATGAGGTTTTTATTCTTTCTTTTTTCATACGATCTGCTTATGCTTCACTAACAGTTAGGTTTATGGGTTGAAGTATAGGGTGGACCTTCATGCTTATACTTTTATTTAAAAATTGTATGTTTCCATACAAATCAAATTCAGACAAAAATCCTCGCCTTGTAAAATAGTTATGTTTTCTCAACTGAAATGCACAAGGCTGGTAACTTCAGATTTCTTTGTAATTTCTTCCCCCCAAAGATCTCTCATGATCTCCCATCTCTAATTCAATTATGGTTTAGTTAAATGGTCTGATGATAATTCTCATAATTCTGGCTCTGTATATGACTGCATATTGATTTAAAATGAAAAATGTCAAGCACTGCAAGTTATATTTAGCCTGCTTTTAATTATTCACAGAGGGATTACTCATATTTGGACAGCAGAGTCTCCTAATTTATTAATTAATTCGTTAAATTGTGTGTGTTTTCGTGAGACTGTTTCAAAGAAATTATCTTGGAATAAGATATTTCTTGACTAGAGTTTCTGTGTATGAAATACACAACATTAAACACACACACACACACACACACACACACACACATGTTGTGTTTCCATGTTTTATGGGGACTCTCCATAGGCGTAATGGTTTTTATACTGTACAGACCGTATATTCTATTGCCCTACACCAACCCTACCCCTAAACCTACCCCTCACAGGAAACTTTGTGCATTTTTACTTTCTCAAAAAAGTAATTCTGTAAGATTTATAAGCTTGTTTCCTCATGGGGACCTCAAAAATGTCCCCACAAGGTCAAAATTTACTATCCGGGGGGTGAACAAAGGCCTCCTGTAGCGAATCGATGCGTTTTTGTAAGAAAAATATCCATATTCAAAACGTAATAATCACTTTAATGTAGCTTGCGCTCACAGTTGTAAACAGAAGCAGCTCCGGGCGGATGACGTATGAGTTCAGCGCTGCGCATGCGCCGCTCAGAAGTGATGAACACGGAAACGCAGCGGAGAGATCAAAACAAAACAACGGTCACTTGTAAAGGGAGGATTTGTAAAATCCTTTGTAATGTCAGATGATTTCGATATAAGCCAAGAGGAGACTGGTTTTGCTTTGCTAAAGTAAGGAAACTTTGCTTCCTTTGCTCCCGTTAACAAACGTTGGTTTTCACGAGACTCACCGGCGCATGCACAACGCTGAACTCATACGTTATCCGCCCGGAGCTGCTTCCGTGTACAACTGCTGGCGCAAGCTACATTAAAGTGATTATTACGTTTTGAATATGGATATTTGTCTTACAAAAACACATCGATTCGCTACAGGAGGCCTTTGTTCACCCCCCGGAGCCGTGTGAGACACTTTTTTTTATAGATGGTCGCTTTTTATTTAACTTCTTTTGGACTGATGCATGCAACACCCGCTGAGCGGCATTAAACAGCTTGAAAGATCAAAGACCATTTTAAATATAGCTCCGACTGGATTCGTCTGAAAGAAGAAAGTCATATACACCTAGGATGCCTCAGGGGTGAGTAAAACGCAGCCTAATTTTCATTTTTGGGTGAACTAACCCTTTAAAGGGGGCATTTCATCTGTTGCCCCAAAATCATTGCATGTCCTGTGCTTTGTATAGCAATCTATACAGCTACATTGGGATTATCAGACACTGACCCATGATTGGGGCATCACTCATGCCCCAGAAAAAATTCAGCACACATTGAATAAACTACACATTTCGTATTGCATTAAAATAAAGTAACGAGAGCAACATTGCTCAACAAAGTAAAAGTAAAATGTTTCATTGAGTTAAAGTAAAAATACCCACCATTAATTCTACTCTTAAAAGTACAAATATTCAAAAAATCCACTCAAGTAAATGAAACGGGGTAAATGTAATTTATTACTACCCACCTCTGATCCCACACTCAGAAATACAGTATATATAAAGCATATGGCTGCACTTACTGGCATTCTTTTTGCGTGCCCATCGATCCGTCGGTACAGTAGAAAAACTTTCCCTTGAAGAGCTGCACTGCAATGACAGCAAAGATGAACATGAAGAGCTTGTAGACGATGAGGATGTTGAAGACGTTCTTCAGGGATGTGACCACGCAATCAAACACAGCCTGCAGGACAACAGAAATAATCATCATATCGCATATCCCTTCCTAAACAGGTCTTCAACCAGCAAAGCAAATTAGATAGAGTTTCATATGCATGTTTTTGGAGTTTAGAGAATGATGCATTCCAGTACAGTATAGTGTCTAAAACAATCAACATTACAATTTTACCTAAAGCCTTGAATTTATTTGTAGTCATTCAATTAGTAGTTGCCTGCATTGCATGCACTTTTATTTGCAAGTGATCAAATCAAATGTTTGTGGGGGTTTTTTTAGGCAGTACAGTCATTTTCTGGCATGTTGGTTGCTATGGTAATGATATCAAGTCAAACCCATGTGACTTTGCTCTACAATGACAGGAAACTGAAAGCTGACAGAAAAAAAAAATGCTTTAGATGAGGTTTTTATTCTTTCTTTTTTCATACGATCTGCTTATGCTTCACTAACAGTTAGGTTTATGGGTTGAAGTATAGGGTGGACCTTCATGCTTATACTTTTATTTAAAAATTGTATGTTTCCATACAAATCAAATTCAGACAAAAATCCTCGCCTTGTAAAATAGTTATGTTTTCTCAACTGAAATGCACAAGGCTGGTAACTTCAGATTTCTTTGTAATTTCTTCCCCCCAAAGATCTCTCATGATCTCCCATCTCTAATTCAATTATGGTTTAGTTAAATGGTCTGATGATAATTCTCATAATTCTGGCTCTGTATATGACTGCATATTGATTTAAAATGAAAAATGTCAAGCACTGCAAGTTATATTTAGCCTGCTTTTAATTATTCACAGAGGGATTACTCATATTTGGACAGCAGAGTCTCCTAATTTATTAATTAATTCGTTAAATTGTGTGTGTTTTCGTGAGACTGTTTCAAAGAAATTATCTTGGAATAAGATATTTCTTGACTAGAGTTTCTGTGTATGAAATACACAACATTAAACACACACACACACACACACACACACACACACATGTTGTGTTTCCATGTTTTATGGGGACTCTCCATAGGCGTAATGGTTTTTATACTGTACAGACCGTATATGCTATTGCCCTACACCAACCCTACCCCTAAACCTACCCCTCACAGGAAACTTTGTGCATTTTTACTTTCTCAAAAAACTAATTCTGTATGATTTATAAGCTTGTTTCCTCATGGGGACCTCAAAAATGTCCCCACAAGGTCAAAATTTACTAGTATTACTATCCTTGTGGGGACATTTGGTCCCCATAACGTGATAAATACCAGGTACACACACACACACACACACACACACACACACACACACACACACACACAGTATATGATACATTAGCTTATCACCACAGCAAAAGTAGATGGCAGAATAAACAGACTTAAAAAATAAAAAAATTACAGAATAGCATTTTTTTTAATATATATATTAAATGTGATTTAGTGCAGGAGGAACCCAAGGCTTAGTTTTTAGACTCACAAAAATGACATATAATGTCCTCTACATGCACTAGTATATTTTACTAACTTTTAAAACCTGTTACTCGATGACTATGCAATGAAAGAAATATTTATGATGTTTGAATATTCAAAACTATTTTTCCAAAAAGAGTAAAACTCAATACTTGCAATTCATTTGGATACAGAGCAATTGTATTGAGTTTTACTCTTTTGGAAGAATTTAGTTCTAACTTGCAGTCAAAGTCACATGTGGACTGAAAAAGTGCTTAAGATCCTCAGTTTATCTTTTTTCTTAATATTCAAAGCAGGCATAGTGACAAAGAAGTGGTAAAAAGTGTATAAGTGAGCAGAGAGCTGGATTGTGCTTTCTGGTTCTGTTTTTGGTCATGAATGTAAAGTATATAAAGTGTGAAAGAGTACATACCTTGAGCTTTGGGAGTCTTTTTATGGTCTTGAGGGGACGGAGAACTCTGAGAACCCGTAAGGACTTAATGGTCTTAATATCTCGGCCTTTGTTGTTTCTGTGAATAACAAAACATATTATATTTTAGAAAATGTATATTTTGGGGGGGAAAAAAGCTGTCAATAACTTAAATATTTATATTGAATTAATCAAAATAATTGCAATTAATCACAAAAAAGCCCCCCAAATTAAAAACAAAGGTTTTATTCTTCAATGAGCAGCTTACATGCGGGAAATCACATGACTAGCTTAATACTAACTTTATCTTGTAAATGAATCTTTTCGCTTATAAAAAAGTAATATTTGCTTGCTGTGAATTGCTTTAATTGGTAACTGAAAGTTTTGCATGATTCTGCATCTTTGCTGCTAGACGTCAGTATAAGCTGACTGACACATCAGCAACATATACAATAAAAACCTAAGTACTACAAATTAACTACAGCATAGCATTTTCTAAATCTTAAATGCTTTATAATGCCGATAGAACCCAATGCCTAACTTTTCAGGCTCGCTAAAAGACTAATAATGTTCTTTACATGCATTAAAGTATATTTTATTATATTTTTAAACCTGTCATTCAATGACTACGCAATGAAGAAAAAATATTTATAATGTTTGAATATTCAAAGCAATTCACATGAACAAAACATGAAGGTGGCTTTTCAAGCTTGAACTGCACTGATGGTAGGACAATTTCTCATGGTACTTATGAGCAAAAAAGGCATGATTAATTGCATATTTAAATAATGAATCACACTAAATTAACAAGTTCAGTTGATGGTCCTAATATATAACCCAAGCATGTCTATGCATGGCTGAAATAGTTAGAAAATGAGTGAACATTTTAAATTAGTAAATGCAAACATGGATCAGACATCACAATATTAACACACATACAGTAAATAAATGATGGGTGGCAATTCATATTAAATGGAGAGGCAATGTGACAAATGAGAAGCGTCTGCTGTTACCCCATTAAATTCCTGGCAGCCACAGAGACACAATCCAAACAACAACAGAGAAGCATTAAAAGAGAAAGAACACATGAACATCTCAAGTGTGTGTAAAGCCATTAAATAACGAGCCAGAGCATATTTATGAACATCTGGAATATCCTTTTATAGAAATACTTCCTTGAATAACATGCTTATTCTTTCAAGTGGAACGATCAGGATACATATATAAAAAATGACCCATAACATTTTGATAAATTGTGAGCAATATCTTATTATCTGGTAATAAACATTTCTGTACATATGTTTAATGCTTGGCAGCTTTCGTTAATAAGACTTGTACTGCGTGATTTTAGGGCTTCTCTCAAGGGTTTCCCAAATAGACTATTACATTTAGGACACCATCATTTTTTAATAACTGAAGCTATTTTAATGCATGTTTAAGATCATATGTACTGTATACATTCCTCTAAACTACACTATATTCTAACTACATATGTGCGACTTCCATCTCAGTTTTAGAATATATTAGCAAGCAACAAGCATTCAAGAGTATAACTTATATAACTTAAATGAGGGGTGTCCAAAGTCCAGCCCACGGGCACATAGCCTGTTCTGAATCAGCCCGCAATATGCTTTAAAAATAGAACAGGATTTGGCCTGCTATTAAGAAAGAAAATGAAATTCATATACTGCACTTTGTGTCGATATCACGTATAGCCAAATCTCACAACACACCACCTCCACTAGTTCAGTCGCCATCGGCTTCTTTCCACCGATGAAGCACCGTACATAAAGAACGAAGAGTTTGCTTCACTTGTCATGCATGTACTATATTCTTTTTGCATAGCAGTGGGTATTAAATGATGACCTGTTATACCTGTTTAGAATAAATATTCTAAACAAGTTAGTAAGTGTGATTCTCTGGACTCCATTCTTCCCAGTCTGTCAAATAACTCGTCCACATGCTGGACATTACTTACTATTCACATCAGTCTAGTTCTGTCAACAGGAGCCTAAAGGTGCGATCACATTTAAAGGGATAGTTCACCCAAATAATGAAAATCATGCCATCATTTACTCACCCTCAAGTTGTTCCAAACCTCACTGACTTACTGTGGAAGTCAATGGCTATACCTTGATGATGACAGGATTTCCATTTTTGGGTGAACTATCCCTTTAACACTGTTTCGTCAAGTTGGTAACGCGGATTCGCCAATTTGACCAACAGAAAACTGCTTGGTTTGAAAGTGACTTCTGTGTGAGCGTTGCTTCGTACATCGCTACATTATTAATGATAGACAATGCAGCTTTTGTGATCGTACCTTAAGAATAGGCAGGTTCAATTAAAAATAAAGGCTCTGATGCTGTTAAGAGACTATGACAATGTTGATGGCAGTGTTGCAAGATAGGGCGGTTTTGAATTTGAATGTCCGGGTCAAAATTGTTTTGGGCGAGTGGACAAAATTTGGGCTGTTTTGGGATCAGTTTTTGCACTAAAGTGTGCTTGTACTTCATCTAATTATTCATGATCCTTTCTTCCAATTTATAAGTTCCCTAGCATAGCAACAACTACTTTCCTTTGGTCGACTTTTAGCCAGGAAAGTAATAGTCTGGTTATCCACTGAGAATTAAACTACTAATTAACCATATTCAACTCACAATTACTATCCAATTATAGAAGTTCACCTACTTACCTATATCTATTAAATTAGCCACTGATCAACCCTTATTATCTGACTGTACACCCTCCCCCAGTGAACGCCTATAAAGATCGACATATGTAGTTTTTAATTGAAGGGTAGTGTATTATACAGTAGAATAATCATTCCCATGGAGGGAATTTAGGATTTTTACCAGAGGTCCTAATGTTACCACAGGAACAGTATTACAGTACATATATAGAGTATTATATGTTCTCACACTCATAGATGCAGATTTAAGGAGGGGAATGAAAAGCCACTTCTCATACTGCATTACAGACTCCTTCACTTGCTTTAATGCTGACCCATGCTTTTATCTTAACCTAGTTATTTGGTATGTTTCTGTACCAGTTAGTTGAAACCAAGCAGTCTTGTATTTTGCACACATTGGTTCTGGATTTGGCTTTGGACGAACTCCACAATGGATCATAATCAAACCCCAGGTTGTATTTGCATTTATGCATGTGGCAAAGCCCTTTATCCAAAGCGTTTCCACTTTACGTTAAAAAGGATAATTTTTTTTAGTTCATGCATTTCCTGGGAATCAAAAACATGACCTTGGCATTGTTGTTTGAGTTACTGATGTAACTGAGATATGCTTCTGTACTGCTTGTTTATGTTGATGTGATAAATGGTTTATATAAATTAAATTTATTATATTATATCTGTAAAAATTGTACACACATATACAAATATATATACATTGTAGACACATCTGACCAATGGGTCACAGTAAGATTAGATTATACAGTTATCAACCCAGGTTCACTGGAAAAAACATGCCTGTTGTGACATTTCTGCTAATATGTATATATTATGTTGCTTCTTTCATGTTTCACAAGTGAGTGGTGTCAAAAAAGCATTTTCAGATTTTTTTTACGAAACAGATTAAGGTATCGCGACAGTCTGGAAATGAAATGTGATACTAAAAAGTAACACACCCACACTAAATCCGACCCTAAACCCCAACGCTAGTGTTGACAAACGCAAACATGAGGTAAAAACACATTTGCCATTTTATCTTGTATCTGCTAGCATTTGAGCTCTTTTATCTTCACCCGAGCGCTCCACATTGCAAGTGCAATGCTGTACCAGGTGAGCGACAGAGCAAGTTTACAACATCAGAAAAGCCAAACATCTGTAATGCAAACGTAAAAATGTATTAGTTTACAATTCGTGCACTATGGTGAAAGTGTTTTAAGGTCATAGCATAGTATTGTGCAAGGAACTGCATGCAAATAAGTCTTTATTAATCTGCCACTGTAATCATAATTTGAATGAACAGGAACAAAATGTATTAGTGTTTTACTGCGTTTACATTTCATTTCACCTGGAAATTCGATTGCCACAGGCATTGATGATGACCCAGTTCTGTGTTTCCATTAATGAATGTGTCCTCACTTTAGCGAATTATCCCCTCTGCAAACAAAATCAATGGCTGCTGTCCACCGCTCCTTCAGGACTCAGCCATCAGCAGCTGAACTACTTCACTACAAATCAACACTGTTGCACTTTGATCATCTTCCTCTGAAAAACTGCTATGCAAATCAAACCAAACACAACAGGCACTTCATTGCTGAGAACTGCTTATTTCAGTTATTCAATTCCTAATCCACACTTCATTCCATGCACTGTATATAATACATATTGTGTAAAAGAAATGGTTCTCAGAGGTGTATTCTGATCAAATTACCAGGGAAAACAATGCTAAATGCAAAAAGGCACTTACTTTTCGGAGATTGGCATGTTATGTGGCTTGACATGCTATATTTAAAATAATGCCTTTAAACATCACGTTGCTACTTCTTGCATGCATTATTTTTAATTAAGAGACTGGAGTATTTGTAATTGTAAAAAATGCATTTGTCACCACAAGACAAGATTTAAAATGACTAGTCGTGGCAAAGGGTGAACAACTTTTTTTTTATAGGATATTTTTCTTTACTATTTAAAGTGACAGTATTGGTTTGGTTCTACCCTCCAAAAAAACTCTAGAAATTGGTATGATAAAATGGTAAATACTTTAGAAGACCAATCCAGAGAAAACATACTCTGCACTGTAAAGAACCATTTAAACAAGATGGATGGACATATGGATGGACGGATGGATTCTGCTTGATCCTCCATTCCAGTACAGACAGTCTGAAGCTCCTGAAGGCCAGATGCTTGGGAAATCCCTGTCGCATCACCCACAAACTCCCTAAAATACAAACGTACAGGTGTGAATGTTTGATCTTATAAAATAAGGAAAACATGTTTCATAACTTTGCTGTGTGTTGTGCCTAGCAAAACAACTTCACCAAATGAAAAAAACAAGCTCAGTTACATTCAACCATAAGTTAGCACAGAATGTCTAAAGGTGAAGATCAAAATAATCTTCACCTTTAGACATTCTGTTGTAAATCTCAGTCACAACAGGTATATAATTTGCAGCATGCAAATTTCACAATTCACAAGGGTGTGTGATAAAAATCAGGAAATTAGAATAAAAACAATGGCTATTGATTCAGGCTAAATAAAACGGAATTCAAGAGAAAACCAGGGGGAAATTCTTGACTAATAAAAATAAACAGACAATAAAGAAAACAAGAGAAACAGAGTGCACAAAGGATCTACATGTCAGCAGGTAATCCGAAATGTTGATGAGATGGACAGTGCAATGTTAATGGCAGACATGACAGATAAAAAGATACATAGACAGTTTTACTTACAATTATGCGTATTCTTTTGTTGTCCATGAAACCAAATAAATGATTAATTGAAAATAAGCCATTAGTGTATTTGCAGGCAGGACATACCAAACAATCCATATTGCCAGACTGCACACAAGTCAACTCATAAGGCTATAAAAAGTTAAAAAGAGTTTCGCCCTCAGGGAACTCGAGCGGAGTCGGAATGCTTTGGGAACACCTATGTGTGACCACATTCTGAAGCACGTGTGGAATCAGTCCAACGGAGAAGCAAGACATCATGAACAGGGTGACGTGAGCAACCAGGAAAGCTTAAAAGTGCACCTCTGGCACAGCGCATGTTAGCTTTTGCTCTTCAGTAAGTGTGTTGTGGTGTGTGTGTGTATGTGTAAGTGTATGTGTTGCAGAAGCATTCATTCAGTCAGTATATCTCTGTTAGTAAGACAGGGATAATGTCAAAGAGTAAAAACAAAAGTAAATCGGATGGCACTATAGATTGTGTGGTCCTCCCTGCCGTCGTTATCACACAATCTTTGCGACTTCTGTTTGGGAACGGAGCATGCATGGTCAGCTCTCGAGGGAGATGACTGTCCTGATTGTGAGCAGCTGCCACTGCATGTGCACCGCTTCCGCCTGGCTCTCTTTGATGAGAGCGGCCAGGCTCGCGATCTCGCTGGCACCGGTCCACTTCAGTTCACCAAATTAAACTCTCTAGATACAACAGACTCCAGTTCAGAGGGGCTGGCATCCTCAGCCCCGCTAATACCCCTGCCACCACCGGTGCTTTGGGTTCAGTGGGCTCCAACAAGCTAAGTTCCTAGCTGCCGCCTGACAATGGTACGGCACAGGAATGCTCATCCCCTCAAGTGAAGGCGCTAGAGCCATCAAGTCGGTTGTTCCCTGCCGATTATCCGCTTCAGGGTACTGAAATTACTCCTCTACCAGAGGCCAGCCCCAAGAGGTTGGTTCCCTTAGTAGACTTTCTGGCAGCGTGGAAACTTCTGCCAAATGTCTCTAAATGGGTCCTCCAGACTGTAGAGAGAGGCTACAGAATTCAGTTTGGTTCTCGCCACCTCTTTTTAATGGGGTTGTCCCCACAATAGTGGGGCAGAGCAGGCTCTGGTAATGGAACAAGAAGTAGACACTCTCTTGAGGAAGAAGGACATAGAACGAATTCCTCCTCTCTCAAGAGAGTCCGGGTTCTACAGTCGATACTTCATCGTTCCGAATCAGGATGGGGGGTTGCATCTGATCATAGATCTGCATCTGCTGAACCGTGCTATCAAATGCTTTCGGTTCAAGGTCAAATAGATTGTGTCTCAAATCAGATCTGAGGACTGGTTTGTCACGATAGATCTCAAGGACGCATACTTCCATGTATCCATTCTTCCTCAACACAGGAAGTTACTGAGTTTTGCTTTCAGGGGTGAAGCATACCACTATCGGGTTCTTCACTTCAGCCTATTACTCTCACCCCACACTTTCACCAAGTGTGTGGATGCTGCTCTGGCTCCTCTACGACTTCAAGGCATCCACATACTGAATTACATCATTGACTGGCTAATATTAGCACAGTTTCAGCAGAAGGCGATTCGGCATGGAGATGTCATCCTCGCATATATGAAAGAGCTGGGGTTGAGGCTGAAGGAGTACTGGAGAGTGTACCCGGGGACAGGGTCTGTCTTCTGCTAGTAGCCCCGTTCTGGCCGGCCCGGGTATGGCTTGGACCTTGTGTCCCTTATCGATGGCTCTTTCTTGGAGATTCCGATCAGGAGGGACCTCCTCTCTCAGGCGAGGGCCTCCATCCTTCACCCGTGCCTGGAGTTATGGAAACTGTGGGTGTGGCCCCTGAGGGGGCACAGCTCTTAGCATCTGGTCTCTCAACTGAGGTTGTTGAGACCATACTCCAGTCCAGAGCTCCCGCCACAAGGAAACAATATGCCCTAAAGTGGAAACTTTTTACTTCTTGGTGCGGACAACGACTGCAAGAAACAGTCAACTGCCCAGTGGGTACAGTTCTGGAGTTTCTGCAGGAGCATTTCATCCACTCTGAAGGTGTACATGGCGGCCATAGCTGCTTACCACGCCCCTTTGGGTGGTCAGTCATTGGAAAGAAGCCCGTTTCCTCTATGGCACTTTGAGGATGAGGCCAGCACAGTGCACCGAGGTGCCCTCGTGAGACATGGGGGTGGTACTGGAGGACTTTGAACTCATTGAGGAGGTTTCACATAAGTTCCTCACCTTGAAGACAGTCTTCCTCCTTGCTATATACTCACTCAAGAGGAGAGGGGATCTTCAGACACTGTCAGTTTCTCCCTTGTGTCTGGAGTTAGCCCCGGGCATGGTTAAAGCCTTCCTTTATCTGAGGCCAGGGTATGCCCCAAAGGTGCCCACCTCTACGCCAGGACCCATAGTGCTCCAAGCCTTCTGTCCTCCTCCCTTCCAGGAAGCTGACCAGGAGAAGCTAAATCTGCTCTGTCCAGTGCGAGCACTTATGATGTCCACAGAGCTGCCCTGTGGTGTATGGCAGATCAGTTGTTTGTTTGCTTCAGTCCACCTAAGAGGGGCTTGCCGGCGACCAAGCAGACCCTGAGTCGAGGCCATCTCACTTGCTTACTCTGGCACCTATGGGGGTCAGAGACCACTCAACCCGGAGTATGACATCCTCCGAGGCATTATTCATGGGTGCTTCCCTGCAGGACATTTGTGATGTGGCGGGCTGGTCCTGTCAGCACACATTTGTTTAGTTCTATAATCTAGACCTGGCTTCTACCCCAGGATCCCAAGTCCTCTCGTCTTGATGTGCTTGCCAGATACACACCAGACAGGGACTTGTAAGTATGGCGCAGTGGGCATTCTCATTGCCAAAGCCTTCAGATGCAGCTTGAGTTCCCTGCAGGGAAACGTCTCAGGTTATGTATGTAACCATGGTTCTCTAAAGGGAACAAGATGCTGCATCTCTCTGCCATACTCCTTGCATCTCTGTAGGTGCTTACTTCATCCTGTCAGAAGCTAACATGCACTGTGCCGGGTGCACTATTAAACCTCCTGGTTGCTCACATCACCCCGCTAGTGATGTCTCGCTTCTCCATTAGACTGATTCCACACGTGCTTTAGAATGTGGTCACGCAGAGGTGTTCCCAAAAATGTTCCAACGCAGCGCCTCATTCCCATTATTCCCATTTCCTCATCCCCATGTTTACATACATAACCTGAGATGTTTCACACCTCTGGCCCTCGAGGTTCACTGGCCTACAGAGTTTAGCTCAAATCCTAATAAAGCTCACTTGAACAAGCTAATCAAGGTCTTAAGTATTTAGTTCCAGGCAGTTGAGTTGGATCAGGGTTGGAAAGAAACTCTGTAGATAGTGGATGTCGAGGGGCAGAATTGAGAAACCTTGTTTTAAACAGTTATGGGGTTCTTTGCCATTTCAATGCCATTAATGCCACATTTGTGTGAAATGTTTTAGATAGAGATAGTTTTGTCCAGTGGTTTTGATAGTGTAGTTTGATATCTCTTAATATTGCAATGGCTATTGATTGATTTGTTGGTTCATTCTCACGTGCCCTTTCTGTCGTAGCATTGTCTCTTACCCATGGCAATGCCAAACTTTTCAACTCATAATACCAATGAACTTGAGACTGGACAGCTACAGTACTAGATTGGTTCACTAACTTTAAGCTATATTTGACATTATGGAAGCAACTTTTATAATAAAACTAGAGAAACTAACCAACTGGATGTGTTTATTCATTGTTCAAACCATTTCACGATTTTGTCCAGATGTCACTTTGCAGAGATCAGAACATTCATTTCTTCTCTGAAGACAAAAGATGCACTGTTGTACTTAATTTGACTACAATGTTAAATTAGCCAGGCTTCTATTAACTAATGTGTAATATTAGCAAATCTACAACAGTAGTAAAAAACCTCTAGGTGACCTACCATCCTGCAGAGTTTAGCACCAATCCTAATAAAACAGATCTGAACCAGCTAATCAAGGTGTTCAGCGTTTCTTGAAAATTATAGGCAGGTGTGCTGAAGTAGGGTTGGAACTGAAGTCTGCAAGTAGGCACATAGCTTACCAGGAGCAGGATTGACTATTCTTGTCCTACAAGTGTAAGAAGGTGGTTGTGGACCTGAGCAGTATAAAGCTGTCTACCGCCACCTCTATAACCCTGAGGAATCTACTCTGTGTTTATGGCTACCCCAAAACACACACACCCTCTGATTGATTGTCAACAGCATAAACTTCTGCACATATAATATTACAAGACACCTGGCCACACTGGTGTTTTAGATTTGTGTTGAAATACTAAACACTTCAAGTACAGAGACCAATTCCAGTTGATAAATTCCACTTGTTACAGAGACCAATTCAATACAGTAGAGCAGGGGTGGTCAAATCTGGCCCTCATGGTCCACTATCCTGCAGAGGTTTGGTTTTTGGACAAGACTAGGCAATGTATCGGCATTTTAAAGCATCACACACATCACAGAACAGTGAACATTTGGACCATAATTGAGTGGTTCAATGGTTTTGTCATTTTCGGGTTCTTTGCCATTTCAATGCCATTAATGCCACATTTGTGTGAAATGTTTTAGATAGAGATAGTTTTGTCCAGTGGTTTTGATAGTGTAGTTTGATATCTCTTAATATTGCAATGGCTATTGATTGATTTGTTGGTTCATTCTCACGTGCCCTTTCTGTCGTAGCATTGTCTCTTACCCATGGCAATGCCAAACTTTTCAACTCATAATACCAATGAACTTGAGACTGGACAGCTACAGTACTAGATTGGTTCACTAACTTTAAGCTATATTTGACATTATGGAAGCAACTTTTATAATAAAACTAGAGAAACTAACCAACTGGATGTGTTTATTCATTGTTCAAACCATTTCACGATTTTGTCCAGATGTCACTTTGCAGAGATCAGAACATTCATTTCTTCTCTGAAGACAAAAGATGCACTGTTGTACTTAATCTGACTACAATGTTAAATTAGCCAGGCTTCTATTAACTAATGTGTAATATTAGCAAATCTACAACAGTAGTAAAAAACCTCTAGGTGACCTACCATCCTGCAGAGTTTAGCACCAATCCTAATAAAACAGATCTGAACCAGCTAATCAAGGTGTTCAGCGTTTCTTGAAAATTATAGGCAGGTGTGCTGAAGTAGGGTTGGAACTGAAGTCTGCAAGTAGGCACATAGCTTACCAGGAGCAGGATTGACTATTCTTGTCCTACAAGTGTAAGAAGGTGGTTGTGGACCTGAGCAGTATAAAGCTGTCTACCGCCACCTCTATAACCCTGAGGAATCTACTCTGTGTTTATGGCTACCCCAAAACACACACACCCTCTGATTGATTGTCAACAGCATAAACTTCTGCACATATAATATTACAAGACACCTGGCCACACTGGTGTTTTAGATTTGTGTTGAAACACTAAACACTTCAAGTACAGAGACCAATTCCAGTTGATAAATTCCACTTGTTACAGAGACCAATTCAATACAGTAGAGCAGGGGTGGTCAAATCTGGCCCTCGTGGTCCACTATCCTGCAGAGGTTTGGTTTTTGGACAAGACTAGGCAATGTATCGGCATTTTAAAGCATCACACACATCACAGAACAGTGAAGATTTGGACCATAATTGAGTGGTTCAATGGTTTTGTCATTTTCACCTTTGCAACAATTAGAGAGACTTTTAATGCCAAGCTGTGATGCCATTGTGGTCTCCACCATCGGCTCTCAACTAATGAAGCAACTTGGATAGGAGTGGGCAAATATCCTAAGCCCCAGAGCAACACATGTAGTTGACTACAATACTGAAAAGTTAATTTTGGTTTTAACAGCATTGCGGAGAAGAACTAACTTAATTAGAACCATGCAACTGAGGAAAAGTAAATGAAGGCCTTGCTGTGATTTCAACCAAACAAAGTTTGAACTCTTGTCCATTTATCACTGCCACTACCCTTTGTCCTAATTTCCAAGTCTTTCTAGATGTTTTTTGAATTGGTTTGCAAAAGTCCTGCCGTTTTATTACACAGTTCCTGACATTATTTGATCTTATTTTGATATTGTTTAGGATTTGTTTGCTACTTACTTGTATTTTGTTACACAATCTGTACAGGAAACAGAAACATTTGAGATCACAAGGTGCAATCCTTAAACTATCACAACTGGTAACTTAAATAAAGTTGTTCCCCTGGGTCTGTCCCTTGCCAATATTGCATGAAACTGATCTGTTAAGACAAAACTGATCTTAGAGTAGTACTACAACGAATTTACAGGTTCTTGGGGGGACTGCCCTGGTGGCTAGTTCCTATAACTGAGTTCCTATAACAACCCTGTGTGAAAGCCCCTTAAGATGGAGAAAATAAGGAACTGCTTGCACTGGAGGAGTGGCGAAACGGCACTGAACAACAATTTCAGCTGTTTGCTGACTTCAAAATTCTTAGGTACATTCAAGCTGCTCAAAGAACTCCAGTTACTCCAGAATAATTGGCCCTGTAATAAGAATGTGTAAGTTACTTTGAATAAAATCATATACCAAGTTACTACTCTTTTTTTTTTTTAACTACCAGTCTTCTTCTTAGGTAACACTCATACTGTACTTCTCACATAATAAAAACTGAGGCCTCAATGGTCCAAGCTGCCACAACCTAAAACAGTGAAGATTCTTCAGAGATTCTTAGCCTTTGCAAATCTTTACTGCATGGTCATCAGAAAGTTAAGTACTATTGCAGTCCCTTGACCTAAATGAGGCCAAAATAAGTGGAAACCCGTGGACAGGGGCTGATACTAACAACTTAACCACTGCACCAACACTAAAGCACCCAAATCAATCCCTGCCATTTGTTGTTGTAATTGATGTCACATTGTTTGGTACTGGTGCTGTATTGACAGTTTATGGCCCATTCCTTATTAGCTCACAGTCTCTCCCCAATGAGAAAAACTAAGGTGAAGGCTGCAGTAGTGGTGTAATGCCATCTGTCACTAGTAGCTTTGTTTTCATCAAAACTCAAGTTTTACCTCACTGCTACCTTTCAGCCAAGTGTACACAATACAATTTTGCTGCCAAATTTTGTCAAACATAAATGCTTACGATAGACAAATCAGCAGTCTTAGACTCCCTAGTGTGCCATGCTCATTAATTGATTTTGCAGTGAATTTTAGCCTCCAAATTCTGGCAGCCAGAAATTGTGGGTCACAGTCCTGCAATGTTACTACATATATGACGCCTGTCTACTAAAGATCCAGTAAGAGGACAGAAACTAATGCCACAGTCAACACAGACTGATGACGTAAAATACTCAACACTTTCCAAATCTTGGCTACAATGTATTATAGGCAAGAAAATACATCACATATCGTGCACCAGGGGTATCAAATCCTGCTCTGGCAGGGACACCATCTTGCAAAATTTAGCTTCAGCTCTGCTTTGAAATACCTGCATGTAACTTTCAAGTAATCCCAAAGCCCTTAATAAGCTTGTTCACGTGTGTTTAATCAGGGTTGGAGTAAAACACTGCAGGACGGTGACCCTCCAGGAGCAGGAGTTTACACCATTGTTTTAGACCAAGATTTAAAATGAATAAAATGGATGCACTGAACTCCTAAATAGAAATTATCCATAAAACTATCTTGCCAAAAGCCAGATGGAAAGATAGTCATAGAAAGTCATAAAACCATAGAAAGGAAAGAATCCATGGGGCACAATAATTATACTGGTAACTTTCTTTCTTTTTATTTTTTTGGATTCTACCTCTGCTCATTACCGACTCTGTGATTTTGTATGATGTACTTTTAAATCTAAACTCCACTGTCTACTGTACTAAGCTAAAGCTTGTAATCACTCTAATGTCATATTGATATTCTTCTATAAAATAAACACACTATTCCCCTGTGGCGTAGGCACTTGAGTTTCCTAGCAACTAAAGATTAAAAAAGAAAGAAAGAAAATAAAGAATGAAATTCGAACGCCCTCAATAACCAAGATTTAAAGACAACAAAGAAAATGATCTAGTCATTCCAGTTTACCAATTTAAGTGTTTTTGTGATCTTCCCTATGAAATTTGACCAGAACCAAGACTGATCAAAAAACATGACAGACAAATGGTACATTCATATATGACACTTCTGTTCATGTGTTTGATGGGTCTGAAAAATTACAGAGCAGCATAGTGGCATAATTGTTTAAAAGCATGTCTCAAGCACAAAAAGATTTTCAACAGTCAGCAATCAACACCAAATTATTGCTAGTTAATTAGAATGCTTACCAGCTTCTTAATACATGATAGGGAACTGTATCCTTAGTTTGAAAAACAGGTTCTGAAAAAACTTACTCCGAGAGGCCAAATTCTCTGCATTTAGAACGCTGATTGAAGACCTCTTGCTGCTCCTCCTCTTCTTCCTAACACAAAAATACTCTTCAATATACCTACCTAACAGCATACACTATGAATACACTATGCACTTAAATTAAGTACATGAATAGTAATTTTATATAAAATGCACACAAATGTTAATGCACTGAATACATAATTAAAGGTATACTAATGAAGTCAGAAAGAGCTTTATTGCCATGTGTGTTTACACGCACAAGGAATTTGTCTTTGCGACAGGAGCTACCAGCACAGAAGAAAGTACAGACATTGTGCAAACATACATGATAGTGCAGACATACATAGGAATTACACAGTAGAGCTAATGAGAAACATACATAATATGTTATTACATTTTTGGTACACAGTCAGTGTTATTTCTATTGCAAAATATTACATTTACATGTTTATTAGACAACTGTAATATGTTACCTTTCTTTGTCTTACCTTAGTTAGTTCCTGTGCATTGGCTAGATTATCCACAGCAATAGCCAAGAATACATTGAGCAATGTGTCTGTTCACAACATCGTCAAGAATTTGGGTAGAACTGAATAGAATGAGCATTACAAGCTTTACTTGCTTGCAACACTGTTTTAATTTGCAACATCAAAATTAAATCAATGTAGACCAGTATATTACACTGCTTTCCATCATCTTTTGTCTATTTTTTTGTCTTAATTTTTTAATTATTGCTAAAAAGGATACAGTTCCCAAACAAGGTTAAAACAATAAAGTAGATTGAGGACCACATGCCATACTGCACCCCTCCTTGTGAGCGAATCCCATTGTACATCACCTCATTCCAGTCCTCTCCAGTAAGAATCTATGTTGAATGAATTATTTAAAAAAAGTTTAAATAATATAAAAGTTAAAGGGTTAGTTCACCCAAAAATGAAAATTAGGCTGCATTTTACTCACCCCCAAGGCATCCTAGGTGTGTATATGTCTTTCTTCTTTCAGACAAATCCAGTTGGAGTTATATTAAACATTGTCTTTGATCTTTCAAGCTCTATCATTGCAGTCAGCAGGTGTTGCATTGCTTCAGTCCGAAAGAAGTGAAATAAAAAGCACCCATCCATAAAAAAAAAATGTCTCACACGGCTCCGGGGGGTAAACAAAGGCCTCCTGTAGTGAATCGATGCGTTTTTGTAAGAAAGATATCCATATTCAAAACGTAATAATCACTTGAATCTAGCTTGCGCTCACTGTTGTAAACTGAAGCAGCTCCGGGCGGATGACGTATGAGTTCAGTGTTGTGCATGCGCCGGTGAGTCTCGTGAAAACCAACGTTTGTTAACAGGAGCAAAGGAAGCAAAGTTTCCTTACTTTAGCAAAGAAAAACCAGTCTCCTCTTGGCTTATATCGAAATCCTCTGACATTCTTCTTTTCAAATCCTCGTTTTGTACTTCTAATTCATGACATTGTTTTGTTTTGATCTCTCCGCTGCGCTTCCGCGTGCGTCACTTCTGAGCGGCGCATGTGCAAAGCCGACCTCATACGTCATCCGCCCGGAGCTGCTTCAGTTTACAACAGTGAGTGCAAGCTAGATTCAAGTGATTATTACGTTTTGAATATGGATATTTTTCTTACAAAAACGCATCGATTCGCTACAGGAGGCCTTTGTTCACCCCCCGGAGCCGTGTGAGACACTTTTTTTATGGATGGGTGCTTTTTATTTCACTTCTTTTGGACGGAAGCAATGCAACACCCGCTGACTGCAATGATAGAGTTTGAAAGATCAAAGACAATGTTTAATATAACTCCGACTGGATTCGTCTGAAAGAAGAAAGTCATATACACCTTGGATGCCTCGGGGGTGAGTAAAACACAGACTAATTTTCATTTTTGGGTGAACTAACCCTTTAAGGCTCGCAATGTAAATGTAACAAATTGTCGTAATCATACTAAATAATCTAATTAAGTTGAATATGAGGTGAATATAAACTTTATGATTCAAAAGTATTTACTATGTTTACATCCATAGTGATCTGTCGAGTCTTACCTGAAAGACGGTCATGATGGCTGCTGGAAACGTGTCAAAATTAGTAGGAGTATAATCTTCAAAGATGAACCTGTGCAAGAGAATTAACTCTTTCAACAGCTTTAATTTTAGAATGTTCTAAGAACAATTTGAGAACCCCTGCATTACAGTATACTACACAAAACTAATGTCTTTACAAAACACTAATGTAACTAATTGTTACACTGAAACAAGTGTGTGCACGTGTTCTTCACATGTGTGTGTAGATTGTGATGCGTTACAGTAGGTAGGTTGGTATTGAGACTTCATTTAAGTTCATTTTTTTCCCTTCAAAGTCTTTTGAACTGTATATTTTAATGATTTGATGTAACGTTTTATTTTCACATTTGAGTACATTATATCTTTATGTCTGTCTGTGAGAAAGACCGAGCGAGATCAGCGCTCTCATACCAGATTCACATTCTCACCTTCCACCAAACAACTGCATGCCAAGTAAAGCGAAGACTACGATAAACAGGAAGAGAAGGAAGAGCAGACTGATGATCGACTTCATGGAGCTCATGAGGGAAACCACCAGGTTCCGTAAGGATGTCCAGTACCTGATCAAACAGACAAAACATCACACGCTTCTTTACATTACCGTTAAAGTGCCTCACAATATTCTCACAAGAGCCAGATTGTTTGAACACAATTATATGTGAAAATAAATTTGCCTGACACCAACCGTTCTGTATAATATGGAACTGTCCCATATTTAAAGTAATACAATTGCATAATCCATTTGTCCTCTATTCAACATTTTAAAGACACATTTCATGGCAGAGTATGCAGTCTTATTTAAAAAGAAAACAATTATGAATGCATTTTCCCCCCCAAACAATCTCAGTTGATGAATTAAATGTAAAAAAAAATTGTTTTTTTTCAAACTGACAAATAGACATATTTAAAGTTGTTTATGAAATACATATTTGAAAATGTTGTTAAATGTAACAATACATAATAAATTGATCAATTGTTTTTAAATTGAACATGTATGTTGCTTTAACACATTGCTTTTCTTTATGCATTTGCTATTCAAGTAAAAAAATGCCTTTGGACAGTTTATACATAAGCAGCAATAACTTGTGACTGGATTTTAATATATGTTTCTTACAGTACCAATTATACTTTTATTTTGGTGTTGTAGTCGAGAGAGAATGTTGCAGACACCTCTGTTTTATATGCCCACTCATGCTTTTATGTAGTTTCATGTCAACAACAACATTTGCATTTGCTGGCGGCTATCACGCAAAACATTCCTTGAAAGAATGCTGAGGAGACTACTTGGATAAATGATATAAACTTACTTCGTTATTTTAAAGATTCGTAGCAGACGTAAAGCTCTGAGGACACTGATGCCAAAAGACTCTCCAGGCCTGAAGAATCCCCAAACCACTTCAAAAATACTGCCAACAATCACCTGCACAAAACACATAACACTATGCTCTCATCGGTGCCAGGATTCATCAGACATACTGTATGGTTTAACCCTTGTGTGTCGTTAGGGACTGTCTTTTTTATTTATTGACCATTTTTCCTGTGTTAATGCCAACATAATTTTGGCCCAAAATGTGCATTTTTAATTGGAAGTTTAATATTTCCCCCTCATTTCCTTAAATCTATTTTACGCTTGGTACAAAAAAATAAATACATAAAAATACTTAAGACATTCAGGACAAACATGTTCCCCTTGAAACCCGTTAAAACTGCAATATTTAACCACAGTGGCATTTTAGAATAAAATCATGAATAATTTTTTAATAGGGTTTCATTCTGTTAGCTAGGCTTCAGTTGTTTTTTTTGTTGTTGTTTTTTTTGTTTTTTCCCCCACTATTTTACTATAATCATCATCATCATAATGCTCAAGCAAAAAAAATGCATAAAAATTTATATTATTATCATTGACTTATCCAAAAGTGTAAAATACAAATACAAATAAAAACAGTGGTATTATGCAAACATACTGGCATTTAAAGGGTTAACATCCTGAAAATGAATGGATTTTTGGTACTTCTGATCAGGGCTGATCATAACAATCTATGTCAGTGAAAGCGTAAAAAAATGCAATATATAATATTTTCATGACAGTTTCTTGACAGACATTTTTGTCCTCTAAGGACCTGACTTAAACATCTACACTCACAATTAAACATGCGCACTAAAAGATTCACTCACCCCACAATCAAAGCAGTTAAAGGATGAATGGAAGTAGAGACGGAAACCAAGGCCATACATTTTCAGAAACATCTCAGCAAGAAAAAGTCCCAGAAACACGAACTCTGCGTAGTCTGAAAAACGTAAAAAAAAGTGGTAAACACTTGTGGGTTTCGAAGTATTAACACCATGTCTACTCTGGAAGCGAGCCTTAAAACTAAATTGCTCCCATTAAAATCAGTGAAGCTCTATAAGCCTCACTCACAATGACGGTTCGATGGGTTGCTAGATACACAATAAAATGTGTTATTCAAATAGAGTCAATATTCAAGCCTTTCAGAATAAAGTATTTGGCCTAAAGTACATCCCTGTTTGTTGCAATTGATGAAAATTAAATAATGACTCTGACAAAAGACTCAGCTTGTCTTTTGAAATGAAAATGCAGGAACGCTGTGACAGCTTGAGAAAGCTTTTATGACAACACAACCTGCCTTGAGCTACAGAGTGCTGGATGCCCTGTTGTGCCGTATGGAGTAATTTCAGCTACTCTTAGACCTCTGGGGACCATTAATGTCCGTCATCAATACACAGAACGTTTCTGACATGTGGAGCAGAAAGTGAGGCATTTTTCTGTCTGACAGACCTATGTTAGTGTAGTCATTTTATTAGCAGCAGTTTCTCTGGAAAACATAATGTTGCACAGAAGTGGTTCTGTTAGTTGCAGCATGTCTAAAATGTGCTTTTCAGAGCTGCAAACTGTGCTGTTGATGTTTTTATCAGAAGCAACAGCGGGTGCATCTAGGAGTTTGTGATCAGACTGTAAGCTGACTTGAGCACCATACATCAGGGGTGTCCAGTCCCCAATGGAGGCCCACCAGAGAGCAGAGTTGAGCCAAAGCCACTGGAACGCAAGCCTGCAACCTTTAGCCACAAATTAGACTTGACTTGTAATAACTATTATGACTGCTATGTGCCTTATGCTGATATAATGCATTTTAACGAATTAATGACATGAATCATTTAGAATATTGTACGATAGTATAAGTTGGTTAATGAAAATAAAAATATGTTTCAAACAATAGACTTGAAATGTATTGTCTTGTGACAGCTCAACGCTATCTCATTGTTAGTAGATCATCCACAGAGCTTTCCACTTTTCACTTTTATGGGGGTGCACTCACACGCTAAAGGGGAAGAAGGTTAACCTGGTATGAATTGGCGAGGCAGGGATGTTGTCATGCAACCATGTTTCAGTGAAAATTAAGCAGCATTTGAAGTTGCGTAGCTGCTCAACCAGTTTTGGGGAAATCCAGCCCATTTACAAATCAACTCGATCAAGTTGATTTACAAATTCTATGTGGAGCTGTAAAGCTGCATGCATGTCAGTAAATATACCCCATTGCTAATCTGGTGGTCATAACATTAATAAAGAAAAAGCAGTTGTAGCGACACAAATTAGCATGCTTGTATATCTCAGGAGTGGCCATGCATGCTTTTAACCAGATTATTATAACTATTATTATTATTAATGTCTTCCTACACTGAACTGATGCAAATCTAAGAACAATAGCAACGTAAGATATTTGATCAACAATACCCCAAACCCTTATGAAACCCCTGAACGCTTTTACTATGAATGATAAAAGTAGTAAAACTGCTTATACAGACTTCAAATTTAATGGCAATAAATTCACGGCATTCATGAATTATTACAATGATTATTACTATGAGTAGTAGTATTAGGGGGATGGAGATACTCACACTGAATAATAGTAAGCCATTCCGGTTGGTTGTGATGAACGATTGAAACACAGATGGTGTTGAGCGCCACCAGACTCAGGACTATCCAATAGAAGCTGTCGGTTTTAACCATTCGCCGAATAGATATCCGCATCATGCGTTCCTTGCGCCGCAAGTAAGCAGCGGGCCCTCGTCTTGCTGTCCGTATACCAACCCTCGGTCGGGGGCCACCTGACACCCAAAGAAAAAGAAAAATCCATATACTCACAGAATGTCATTTGGATTCGAATCTTTGTTTCACACGGTTGGAAAGTCAGTGGTGGTATTTCAAAAGCCTGAAAATGGAGATGAATTTATGGATTGTGTGTGTTGACAGTGGTTTTTTCCTTCCCTTTCCTTACCTGATACCGCAAACAAGTCAAGTCTTAATGTGGCTACAAACAAAGAGATGGCATTTATATTTTACTCACCAACTGTAGAGACTTCAGAATATTTCTCCTCTCCCGGTCCTCGACGCCTTGCATTTTTCTTGCTGGTGGCCCGTTTCAAAACTAAAAATGAAAGGGTTAAATGGTGCCACTTGTTGGCCTTATGCTTCTTATCATAGTGGTATAGTAATTAGAAGAATATGCAAATATGCTGTTACTGTCTGGAAGTATTTTTTTGCAGTTGATATTACCCAGCTAATAGGGAACGTTCTCAAAAAGACGACAAAACATTCTTAAAGTAATGTTTACGGAATGTTCTTATAACGTTATATTTTTTTTATACGTTCTCATAACGTTCAGAAAACATGTTCTGAGATCAACATTGAACGTCCTTATGATGGTATTTGTACTTGATGAACGTACTAAGAAATATTTTTTTATGTAACCTTTAAATAATGTTGTAATCAAGACAAGAAAACTGGACATTTTAAAGTTCTTAGAAAATTTAAGTAAACGTTCAAATAACGCTATAATTTGGGCTAAATAATGTTATAGAATGTTCTGAGAAATGTTTTGTAAGCCTTAAATAATGTCAAGAAAACGGGACATTCCAGCATTTTAGAAACATTTCAAAACAATGCTCCCGCAACATTTTTATAACTTAAATGTGTTACGTGTGCAGTCTCACAATTGCAAAAATTAAGTTATAACTTTTGAAATTATTATTTTCTGAAATAGGTAATATATGTTTATCGAGGCTCTGGAAGTCATATATATATACTAAACTCTTCCCCAGGTTATAAATATATACTTTTTTATATCATAATGATCAACAACAGCAGTCCTCAAAACTGTTTTTCCATAACATATTTTTTAGTTTTTAGTTTTATATAAAAGTCTTGCATTTTAACAAGAGATAAATTATTGAAATTACCAATATAAACTGTACCTAGATGAAAACTGGTTTAAAAACTCTCCATAAACGAGACAACACATTGCTTTACGTGCTATTAAAATGAAATTCATACCATCTAACGCTGATCTCCCAGAATTCTTGTTTTCTTCTGCAAGCATTACTTCCTCTTTGTTTGAGAGAGAGAGAGAGAGAATTTATGTAATATATTAGCAATGAAGTAACACAATTAACTCAACATTAATTAAATCAATTATTGGTTTATTCAGTTTGGTTTCTGAAGAAAAAAAAGACAATTTGTAGGCCTCTTAAAAGTAATCTTCTAAACTGTAGAAGCATCAACTATTCTGAGCACAGACAGGCACATATACAAACACTCCAGTCAGTGAGTCAGTGTCACCTTTCCGTTGACCCTTCACTGCGTGGGAGAACGAGCAGCTTCACACACTCATGTTCACCTGAATGTTGTGCTCAGGTGGTGGGTGGCAGGGTGAAATGTGAAAAGAGTAGTGTAGGTGTAGTACACAATCAGAGCACAGTCTGTCACTGAACCTGGGTGAAGACAGTGAAACTTCGCTAGCCTGGCTGAAATTATTGAGCCATAAGATGATTTCAAAAATCAAAAGATTACAAATAGCATTGCATTTTAAAACAAGCACATAACACCACAGTAGTTTACTTGAAATATTTTAGCATAGCAGCAGTCTAAGTCTGAGCATGCGGCTGTGCTAGTAATAAATTAGCCAATTAAGCATCAAGAGGTTTTTATGTGTTTCTACCACTTACATGTAAGGTGTTACGTCAGCAGATATTAGTGCATCAACAGCCTAAAAATCACTTGATGTCTTCTTCCCTCTGCTCTCAAGAGCACTTTTACCACTTGGCATACACGTCTCCCACAGCTCCTCTAAAACACCTCATCCGCCCTTTTCTGAAAACTCGTCATCAGTTCATTACTGGCTAGTGAAAACCTTCTGTATTGTTCAGGCTATTCCAATTAACAAAACTATTTAAAGGAATAGTTCACCCAAAAATGAAAATTTGCTGAAAATGTGCTCACCCTCATGCCATCCAAGATTAGGATGAGTTTGTTTCTTCATCAGATTTGGAGAAATGTAGCTTTGCATCAGTGTCTCAGCAATGGATGCTCTGCAGTGAATGGGTGCCGTCAGAACGAGAGTCTGATAAAAACATCACAATAATCCACAGCACTCCAGACCATCAGTTAACATCTGGAGAAGACAAAATCTGCATGTTTGTAAGAAACAAATCCATCATTAAAACATTTTAAATTTAAACCATTGCTTACGGCTAAATTACGAGTCCATAATCCATAATAACGCTTCCTCCAGTGAAAAAGTCCATCTCCTGTTCTCTCTCACATCAAAATACACCCATATATTTGTTTAGAGCTGTTTTGGCTTGTAAACGGTGCTTGGTCTCTGCAGATTTATCTCCTGATTCAGACCAGAACACTTTTTTCACTGGATTATGGACTCGTATTTTAGCCAAAAGTAGCCGTTTGTTAGTTAAAAACGTCTTAATGATGAATTTGTTTCTTCTTTTGTCTTCTCCAGATGTTAACTGATGGACTGGGGTGGTGTGGATTACTTGTGGATTATTGTGATGTTTTTATCAGCCGTTTGGACTCTCATTCTGACGGCACCCATTCACTGCAGAGCATCCATTGCTGAGACACTGATGCAGTGCTACATTTCTCCAACCCTGATGAAGAAACAAACGCATCCACATCTTCGATGGCTCGAGGGTGTGTAAACTTTCAGCAAATTTTAATTTGTGGGCGAACTAGTCCTTTAAAGGAATCATTCAATACCAGGAACTGCAGACTTGTTTCTCACCTCTAACACTCAATACTGACAAAAAACACGAGAGCTAAACACAAACACTGCATGCTAAAAACAACAAGACTGATCCACATGAACGACAAAAGACTAATAAACCAATGCAAACACTAGAATGCATACAAGAACAGTCTCCATCCTGACTTCATCACAAACTCCAAGATACAACTATAAACATGCTTTATGCTTAACAACAACAAATTGAATACAGTTGCAAAGTACCAAAACATTGCAAACACAGACCAAATCCTCAAATCTACATTTTGACAGCGTTTTAAAAAAACCGCCTCTGAACATGGATAGCATACCCAGTAATATTTTAGATTAAAATTAAGTCAGTACCTGCTCTGTCTATCCAGGCCCGGTAGCCATTGAGTTCTCTCTCCGCCTGTTGCTGGCGTCTAAGCTTCATGAAGGCACGTCTGTTCTCCACTCTCTCTCTCTCTTTAGCAAATTCCCTAGAGAAGGATTTAGGAAATGACATGTACACATATTAAGTGCTTTTCAGGTTTTGACCTTTTACAACCTGTAAAGGTGTGATCAACCGAGAAACGCTGTGAAGGCAAGAGCAGCTACAGTAATCGAGCCCACACACGACTGCACGCTCATTCAAACAAGCATTCGTTTTTACATCTCAAACCTTGAAATTATTGGATTTGCATAAAATTAAATATTAGTTGAAAGATCTGTACAGGTTTTTCCTTGCAATTACAACGAATGGGGACTGGAGCCGTCACGGTTTATACAAAGATGCAAAAGCAGCAAAGTATAATCAGGGTTTCTGCAGGTTTTATAAAGGTACATTTAAGACTTTTAAAAGAAAAAAAA